GCCAATGCTCATCTATAAGGCATTCATTCAGTGATTTTCTTATTTGTCTAATATATGTGTTTATTAATTCACAACTACCTTATACAGTGCATTCGGAAAGTATTCAGACCCCTTCACTTTTTCCACATTTTGTTACATTACAGCCTTATTCTAAAATTGATTAAATGTGTTGTTTTTTTCATCGTCAATCGACACACAATACCCCATAATGACAAAGAAAAAACTGGATTTTAGAAATGTTTGCAATTTTATTAAAAATAAAAAATGGAAATATCACATTTACATAAGTATTCAGACCCTTTACTCAGTACTTTGTTGAAGCACCTTTGGCAGCGATTACAGCCTCGAGTCTTCTTGGGTATGACGCTACAAGCATGGCACACCTGTATTTGGGGAGTTTCTCCCATTCTTCTCTGCAGATCCTCAGGTTGGATGGGGAGCTTCGCTGCACAGCTATTTTCAGGTCTCTCCAGAATTGTTAGATCGGGTTCAAGTCCGGGCTCTGGCTGGGCCACTCAAAGACATTCAGAGACTTGTCCCAAAGCCACCCCTGCATTGTCTTGGCTGTGTGCTTAGGGTCGTTGTCCTGTTGGAAGGTGAAGCTTCGCCCCAGTCTGAGGTCCTGAGCACTCTGGAGCAGGTTTTCATCAAGGATCTCTCTGTATTTTGCTCCGTTCATCTGTCCCTCGATCCTGACTAGTCTCCCAGTCCCTGTGACACTTGGCAATCAGGCCAAAGAGTTCAATCTTGGTTTCATCAGACCTAGGAATCTTGTTTCTCATGGTCTGAGAGTCCTTTAGGTGCCTTTTGGCAAACTCTAAGCAGGCTGTCATGTGCCTTTTACTGAGGAGTAGCTTCCGTCTGGCCACTCTATCATAAATTCCTGATTGGTGGAGTGCTGCAGAGATGGTTGTCCTTCTGGAAGGTTCTCCCATCTCCACAGAGGAACTCTTAAGCTCTGTCAGGGTGACCATCGGGTTCTTGGTCACCTCTCTGACCAACGCCCTCCTCCCCCAATTGCTCAGTTTGGCCGAGCGGCCAGCTCTAGGAAGAGTCTTGGTGGTTCCAAACTTCTTCCATTTAAGAATGATGGAAGCCACTGTGTTCTTGGGGACCTTCAATGCTGCAGAAATGTTTTGGTACCCTTCCCCAGATCTGTGCCTCGACACAATCCTGTCTCAGAGCTCTATGTACAATTCCTTCGACCTCATGGCTTGGTTTTTGCTCAGACATGCACTGTCAACTGTGGGACCTTATATAGACAGGTGTGTGCCTTTCCAAATCATGTCCAATCAATTGAATTTACCACAGGTGGACTCCAATAAAGTTGTAGAAACATCTCAAGGATGATCAATGGAAACAGGATGCACATGGGCTCAATTTCGAGTCTCATAGCAAAGGGTCTGAATACTTATGTAAATAAATTACTTTTGTTGTTAATTTTTTATACATTTGCAAATATTTCTAAAAAACAGTTTTTCGCTTTGTCATTATGGGGTATTGTGTGTAAATTGATGAGGGGAAAAAAACGATTTAATTCATTTTAGAATAAGGCTGTAAAATAACAAAACGTGGAAAAATCAAGGGGTTCTGAATACCTTCTGAATGCACTGTAAATAGTTTATTATGGCCCCTTAAATAATAGTGTTACCCTAGGAGGTTGCTGGTCCCAGTGATGCTTGGCTTAGCAGCACAGACATCTCAGCTGCTGCAGCAGTCAAGTGTAGTGGACGTAGGGAGAGAGAGAGCGAGAGAGAGAGATCGAGAGCGAGAGCGAGAGCGAGAGCGAGAGCGAGAGCGAGAGAGAGAGAGACGTACTGTCAGTTTATTGATATTTTGAGTGTACCAAACATTATGAACACCTGCTCTTTCCATGACATAGACTGACCAGGTGGATCCAGGTGAAAGCTGTCCTACACACAATACCCCATAATGTCAAAGTGGAATTATGTTTTTCAAAATTTGTACATATAACAATTTAAAAGCTGAAATGTCTTGAGTCAATAAGTATTCAACCACTTTGTTATGGTAAGCCTAAATAAGTTAAGGAGTAAAGATGTGCTTAACAACTCGCATACGAAGTTGCATGGACTCAATCTGCGCGCATTAATAGTGTTTAACATTATTTTTTAATGACTACCTCATCTCTGTACCCCACACATACAATTATCTATAAGGTCCCTCAGTCGCACAGTGAATTTCAAACACAAATTCAACCACAAAGACCAGGGAGGTTTTCCATTGCCTCGCAAAGAAGGGCACTTATTTGTAGATGGTAAAAAAATAAGCAGATATTGAATATCCCTTTGAGCATGGTGAAGTTATTAATTACGCTTTGGATGGTGTATCAATACACCCAGACACTACAAAGAGATAGGTGTCCTTCCTAACTCAGTTGCCAGAGAGGAAGGAAAACACTCAGGGATTTCACCATTAGGCCAATGGTGACTTTAAAACAGTTACAGAGTTTAATGGCTGTGATAGGAGAAAACTGAGGATGGATCAACATTGTAGTTACTCCACAATACTAACCTAATTGACAGAGTGAAAAGAAGGACGCCTGTACAGAATAAAAAATATTCCAAAACATGCATCCGGTTTGCAATAAGGCACTAAAGTAAAACTGCAAAAAATGTGGCAAAGACATTAACTTTATGTCCTGAATACAAAGAGTTTGTTTGGGGCAAATCCAACTCAACACATCACTAAGTACCACTCCGCATATTTTCAAGTATGGTGGTGGCTGCATCATGTTATGGGTATGCTCGTCATCGGCAAGGACTAGGGAGTTTTTTAATTTATTAAAATAAACGGAATAGAGCTAAGCACAGTCAAAATCCTAGAGGAAAACCTGGTGCAGTCTGCTTTCCAACAGATACTGGGAGACAAATTCACCATTCAGCAGGACAATAACCTAAAACACAAGGCCATATACACTGGAGTTGAATTGAATGTCCTGAGTGGCCTAGTTACAGTTTTGACTTAAATCTGCTAGAAAATCTATTGCAAGACTTGAAAATGGCTGTCTAGCAATGATCAACAACCAAGCTTGAATAATTTTTTTAAGAATAATGTGAAAATATTGTACAATCCAGGTGTACAAAGCTCTTAAGAGACTTACCCAGAAAGACTCACAGCTGTAATCGCTGCCAAAGGTGGTTCTAACATGTATTGACTCAGGGGTGTGAATACTTATGTAAATTAGATATTGCTGTATTTCATTTTCAATAAATTTGCAAAAATGTGGTTTCACTTTGTCATTAAGGGGTATTGTGTGTAGATGGGTGAGAGAGAAAAAAACGATTTAATCAATTTTGAATTCAGGCTGTAACACGGAAAAATGTAGAATAAGTCAAGGGGTGATGTGGGCTGGTGTGGCTGAAATGCCAGGGCTGAACTTTTGCCCCAGTCCGCCCCTGGGAGGGAGGGGGGAGTGGAGGGCTGGATGAATGCAGAAGTCCTATAAGGATACACCTGGTCCCTGTGAAGAGGGCCTTCATACGAGGTCTACCCCCATTTCAACTATTGCTTAAGAAGTGTTCAAAGATTACTATTTCAATCTTTTTCAGATTAATTAACCGTATTGATAGTTAACCAACATTAAAACACATTTTAGATGTTATTTACACCACCCAAAGGTGACTATCTTGTATCATGCCTTGTTATGCATGTATGAACAATGCTGGAATAAAACAGTAATTATGTACCGATATTATTTTTATTTGATTTATTAGCCAACGCCAATGGCGACAGCTATTCTTACTGGGGTCAAACATAACGTAAAATACATTACAGACAAAAGACTTCACAATTTACATACATTCAAAAGTAGTGTGTGTGTGCATCTATCAGTTACACATACATGTCAGTACATACACACAAGTAGGTCACATGGGGAAGAGGCTTTGTGCTGTGGTGTTGCTTTATTTGTTTTTTGAAACCTAGTTTGCTGTTCACTTGCACTATATAAGATGGAAGGGAGTTCCATGCACTCATGGTTCTGTATAATACTTTATGTTTACTTGAATTTTTTCTGAACCTGGGGACTGTGAAAAGACCCCTGGTGGCATGTCTGGTGGGGTAAGTGTTTTGACTATGCAAACAATTTGGAATTTCCAACACGTTTCTTATAAAAACAAGAAGTGACGCAGTCAGTCTTTCCTCAACTCAGCCAAGAGAGACTGGCATGCATAGTATTAATATTAGCCCTCTGATTACAATGAAGAGCAAGATGTGCCGCTCTGTTCTGGGCCAGCTGCAGCTTATGTTTTGCTATGTTGGTGGATATGTCTAAAGACCCATGGGGTGGCGCACAATTGGCCCAGCGTCGTCCAGGGTAGGGGAGGGAATGGTCGGCAGGGATGTAGCTCAGTTGGTAGAGCATGGCGTTTGCAATGCCAGGGTTGTGGGTTCGATTCCCACGGGGGGCCAGTATGAAAAAAATAAAAAAGAATGTATGCACTCACTAACTGTAAGTCGCTCTGGATAAGAGCGTCTGCTAAATGACTAAAATGTAAAGAAAAATTCAGATACCAGCACTGGAAGTGCCACTTGCACAGAATAACTATAATAAGCCACTCGGTTTTTGCCACACACACACAGAATAACTCTTTAATGCCTTGTCAAAACTAACCACATCACAGCTTCTACAGTAACCACAACACCCTGTCTGTCTTGCACCTTGTTGTTTCACTGAATTATTTATTATTGCATGAGCACTTTTGACAAGTCAGCCAATGCTGCCCTCTGGCAGTGGGATGGAGAACTGTAAAATTGAAAAATTCTCAGATAATTTTTTTCTGCAGGGTCCAGACATACAACTCATTGCAACACCATTGTGGCATTTACTAGTCTCTCTTGGGAACCTTGATTTGGGTCTGAGTGCCAAGACTATGCATTTACCAACTGTCGAAGCTTCCATATGCATATACCCCCCACTCATAGGAATTCATACAGAGAGAGGAGAACAGTAGATATAATTTATTAACCAGAATAACACTACACAGAGTGAGAGGGACTGAGAACAAGTCTCAATGATGATGGGTCTGCTTGAACTGCAATCCACAGTAGCCGCATGTGCCCACTTTAGTTTCTTTATCCTGGAGAAACACAGAAAGAAAACAGCAGACATTAGCACGGTGGAACGCCACATCAAATAGACCAATTCACTATGTAGTGTGAAGCTGAAACATTGGAACTCTACCTGATGTAAAGGCCTGTTCACTTGATTCGCGCAAGCCACGAGATCAGGCACAGCGTGAGGTTAAAGTTACATTTGCTTGAACTCAGAGCAGTGGCACTGACTACAAAAGCACGCCTCAATTGAAAAACAATGGCTTGCTTGGCACAATGCCGTTCTTGCATGAGTCATGTGAATTGGACTTAAGATGGAAAAATTGAAAACAATATCACTATGCGCGCTCATGTCTATAATGTGGTCAGAGCTTATGAGCATTACTAGGTTGATATAGATTTTTGGGTGGCCCAGGCTCCTCCACCCTCATCACTTGACACCACTCGAAGCTAGTGTACACTACAGTGACATGTATAACAACTTGTGTACACATACACTAGCCAGTGTACACTTCAGGGTCATATAGACGAACTAGTGTATCCTAAAGAAATCATTACCAGGTTGATGTAGACTTTGGGGTGGCCTAGTGCTCCCCCACCCCCGTCACATGACACCACTCTGGCTTCGATGCCACTGATCGGCTCCTCAGCCACCAGCTTGATGGCAAAATTCTTGTTCACCTGGAAACACACAGCATTGTAATCCACTCTGTGTTGTAGTCCTCTCAGTGGACTGCTCAAGATATGCATTGTAAATCTATCAATACCCGGCTTTAGGCCGTATTTCAACAGGTTGTCATATGAATCAACGGCCCCCTTAGCCATTGGATTCAACTTCTACATTGAAGTCCCATGGCTGCTACTGATGCCCTTTCAGATTGGATGTAGTTTTACCTCTTTCTGTCTGCCCACGAACCTGGCCCGCCTGGGATCATTTTCATCATACACCTGAAACAACACGCAGACAGACACTGATTAGGAACATAGCTAGTACAATCAGATATAGCTGGGATTATGATATACAGTGCCTTGCAAAAGTATTCATACCACTTGGATTTCTTCACATTTTGTGTTACAAAGTAGGATTCCAATGGATTTAATTCTCATTTTTTTCAACAATCTACACTAAATACCCTGTCAAAGTGGAAGAAAATGTAATACATTTTTTTTATGTATATAAATTAAATAACCTAAATAGTCATTGCATAAGTATTCAGCTCCCTGAGTCAATACATGTATATAAATTAAATAACATAAAGTTGTTGCATAAGTATTCAGCTCCCTGAGTCAATACATGTTATAAACACCTTTGGCATTAATTACAGCTGTACGTCTTCTTGGGTAATTCTCTAAGAGCTTTACACACCTGGATTGTGCAATATTAGCCCATTATTCTTTCCAAAAGTCTTGAAAACTCTGTTAAGACTTTGGGGATCATGGCTAGACAGCAATTTCAAGTCTTGCCATAGATTTTCAAGCAGATTTAAGTCAAAACTGTAAATTGGCCACTCAGGAACATTCACTGTCTTCTTGGTAAGCAACTCCAGTGTAGTGTTTATTACTTCATTGTCTTGTTGCATACAAGATCCATGTTTTGGATTCGTCTTTTCACTGTCATTTAAGTCATTATTGTGGAGTCACTACAATGTTGTTGATCCATCCTCAGTTCAACCCATCACAGCCATTGAACTCTGTAGATGTTCTAAAATCACCAATGGCCTCATGATAACATCTCTGAGCAGTTTCATTCCTGTCCTGCAGCTCAGTTAAGAAAGAAGACTATCTTTGATGTGTCTGGGTGGTTTAATAAATAATCCACAGGATAATTATTAACTTGACCATGCTTAAAAATAGTTATTCAATGACTGATTTGTTATTGTTACCCATCTACCAATCACTGCCCTTTTTTATGAGGCTTTCAAAAAGCTCCCTGGTCTTTGTAGTTGAAACTTTGCTTGCCCTTACAGATGTTGTATGTATGGGGGACAGAGGAAGGGTTAGTCATTTAAAAAAATAATGTCAACCCCTATTATTATTACTACTACTACTACTACTACTACTATTTAGTCAAATTTGAGGCTTGCCTAAAAATTGGCTGAAAACTAAAATAGTCGTTGCATAAGTAATCAAATTTATATTAATGTTAGAATTTGTCTTCCACTTTGACATTACAGTATTTTGAGTAGATTGTTGACAAAAAAAAACACAATGAAATCAATTTTAATCCCACTTTGTCACAATACAATCTGAACAAATCCAAGGGATATGAATACTTTTGCAAGGCACTGTAGGTACTGTAGTTAGGAGGTAAGTGATCACATTTACATACATTACATGATCCCAGTGAAGTTTCATCCCAACCATTAATAAAATAGCATACAGCTAGTTATGTACAATGACACTCCAGCTAGTCAGCTAAATTGTAATCTGCCTTTGCTCTGACTAGCTTTGTCTTGACCGAAGTGGCAATGCCTACCGACTGTGAATAAACGCCTAACCACCCCACTACTGAAGTGGGTGACCAAGGGTGCAAATCCTAATTGATAACACCAGCATCTGACACTGTGCCAAAAGTTAGCTAGTGGTGCTAGTGAGTACCGTTAGCTTACTAGTTAGTTAGTAGCAAAATTACATATTTCCGGGGAAGCCAACAAGCCTAACGTTTGAGCCTTACCTGTCCAGTGTGTGTAATTTGCTCTCCAGTGGTCGACACTTCTAGACTGTAACGCTGTACAGAAACCACCGATGTCTTCAAAGGTGATACAAGCACTTTAGCATTTCTACTTAAGGACAGAATCCGTTGCACAGCGGCCGCCATGTTGATAATGGACTCTGTACCCAGGATGCTTTGTAAAGAAGAGGGCGATTATCTGACCTCCAAAAACGTCCGTCTGGTCCTAGTGCTGTGAATTTCAAAGAATATTCACGAATCGTTTGCAACCAACAGTAACATAATTATCAAAATAAGGAGTGGATTATTGTAAAGATGTGGTAGTTTATCAATTGAGCAACGCGTTACTGTTGAAATTAAAGCGAGAAAGTCTGTTTAGCGCGGGCACAGAAACCTCGAATTATTGCGCTCTAGGACCCAGCGCGGACGCCACAGCCAGGAAACAGCAATAGCTCTGTGCTAGAGAAATCCTTCATCGGCAGTGTTGTTTTGATTAAACGGTGCATTTCAGGGGTTTATTCCCCGCTCTAACCCGTTCTTATAGCTGAAAGGTTGGTGCATATTCTGTTACATTCAGAAAGTTAATCTGATCAAGTACTGGTACTTTACATTTGCCTAATCGGGCAGTTTAAAGATGATCGCGTCTGGGCCATGAATCATGCACGGTATAGCTAGCTAGAATCTGATATGATCTCTAGGGGCTAGATCATACAAAAATGTATATTCTCCAGGATAAGCAAAGGTTAATAGACACTGTACATTATATTTTTTATCTGCATTGTTTTGATTGCCTGTCCTCCAGCACCACTGGTAGCTGAAATGCCTAGATAGGTTTCCATCATATTGCTTTCACCTGTCGTGTTCTGTCAGATCAAGTGATCATGGAGGAATGGGAAGGGCACAGTCCGAGGAACCACAACTCAAAGCAAGTTTAAAATTATTGAGATGCGTCCTAAAACAACCAACATATATGTTCTCTCTCTCTCCAGGCAGGTGTTTGTGACACCATGGCTCCACTCCTGTTGTACCGCCTCGTCAGCTCCCTAACCTGCCATCTAACCCAGATCACCCTCAGCCGAACCTACCCAAGCACTACCACCACCATCATCTCCCGCTGCCTCTCCTCACTCACATCCTACCCAGCCAGAGTGCTCCTGACGCTGGGTAGACCCATCCAGCCCCTGGCCTCCTCTCCTGGATCTTCTCCCCAGGATCAGGGCTCCCTACTGGGCCAATGTCAGCACCTGGCCTGCCTCCAGCCCACTGCAGGGATGAAAACCAAGAGCGCTCTGAAACGGCGATGTAAAGACTGCTTCTTTGTGGTACGGCGGGGATGTCTATTTGTGTTCTGTAAGGCTCACCCCAGACACAAGCAGAGACAGGGGTGAAGAGGAGCAGGGGGTGTGATGATGATGTGTGTATGGTCCTCTGAATTCTTTGTTACTTGAGTTGTATTGTCACATTAAATTGTTTTACTGACTGACAGATTGACCTTTTCCTATCCCTCTCTCTTTCACCTCACCTCCCTGTCGTCTCTCTTTCTCAACATGTCCCTTATACATTTTAAAACTACACAGTGGAGAATAAACTATTCTGATACATGCAGTAGACTAAAAAAGATTGGTTTAAGTGTTCATGCACAGGAGGGTATGAAATCTGAGTTTCGAAAGGCTTACAAAAGGAGTTCCCCAGGGCTCAATTTTAGGTCTGATCCTTTTTACACTGTATATAAATTATATAGGGAAGACTGTTGACTCTGCAAATCTCCATCTGTATGCTGATGACACAATTTTATTCTAGCGCATCTAATATTGAGAAGGCTTTTTAGGACTTACAGTTGGCTTTTGATGTTATTCAAAGGCAGCTTTTTGAATTGAAACTTGTGATTAATGCAAGGAAAACAAAATGTATGGTTTTCTCTTCCCTGAAAGTAAACTGATGAAGTCACTTGCAGATTTTAACTATAAAAGGCCAGCAAATTGATAGCGTCACCTCCTATAAGTATCTTGGGATTTGGTTAGATGAAAAGCTGAATTTTAAACAGCACATTGATAACGACCAAGAAACTGAAGTTGAAATTCGGTTTCTATTTTAGGAACAAATCTTGCTTTTCAATGTTAGTCAGAAAGCATCTTGTTCAAAGCACTTTTTTATCAGTGCTGGATTATGGTGATATTGTCTATATGCAGGCCTCAGAAAGTACAGTGGCTTGCGAAAGTATTCACCCCCCTTGGCATTTTTCCTATTTTGTTGCCTTACAACCTGGAATTAAAATGGATTTTTTGGGGGGTTGTATCATTTGATTTACACAACATGCCTACCACTCTGAAGATGCACAATATTTGTTTTTGTGAAACAAACAAGAAATAAGACAAAAAAACTGAAAACTTGAGCGTGCATAACTATTCACCCCCCCCCCCCCCCCCCCCTCTATATGCTATGTCTCTATATGCTTGGCACATCTAGCCACTGGGATTTTTTCCCATTCTTCAAGGCAAAACTGCTCCAGCTCCTTCAAGTTGGATGGGTTCCGCTGGTGTACAGCAATCTTTAAGTCATACCACAGATTCTCAATTGGATTGAGGTCTTGGCTTTGACTAGGCCATTCCAAGACATTTAAATGTTTCCCCTTAAACCACTCGAGTGTTGCTTTAGCAGTATGCTTAGGGTCATTGTCCTGCTGGAAGGTGAACCTCCGTCCCAGTCTCAAATCTCTGGAAAACTGAAACAAGAATTTCCCTGTATTTAGTGCCATCCATCATTCCTTCAATTCTGACCAGTTTCCCAGTCCCTGCCGATGAAAAACACCCCCATAGCATGATGCTGCCACCACCATGCTTCACTGTGGGGATGGTGTTCTCGGGGTGATGAGAGGTGTTGGGTTTGCGCCAGACATAGCGTTTTCCTTGATGGCCCAAAAGCTAAATTTTAGTCTCATCTGACCAGAGTACCTTCTTCCATATGTTTGTGGAGTCTCCCACATGTCTTTTGCCGAACACCAAACGTGTTTGCTTATTTTTTTCTTGAAGCAAGGGCTTTTTTCTGGCCACTCTTCCGTAAAGCGCAGCTCTGTGGAGTGTACGGCTTAAAGTGGTCCTATGGACAGATACTCCAATCTCCGCTGTGGAGCTTTGCAGCTCCTTCAGGGTTATCTTTGGTCTCTTTGTTGCCTCTCTGATTAATGCCCTCCTTGCCTGGTCTGTGAGTTTTGGTGGGCGGCCCTCTCTTGGCAGGTTTGTTGTGGTGCCATATTTTTTATAATGGATTTAATGGTGCTCCGTGGGATGTTCAAAGTTTTGGATATTTTTTTATAACCCAACCCTGATCTGTACTTCTCCACAACTTTGTCCCTGACCTGTTTGGAGAGCTCCTTGGTCTTCATGGTGCCGCTTGCTTGGTGGTGCCCCTTGCTTAGTGGTGTTGCAGACTCTGGGGCCTTTCAGAACAGGTGTGTATATATATATACTGAGATCATGTGACACTTAGATTGCACACAGGTGGATTTTATTTAACTAATTATGTGACTTCTAAAGGTAATTGGTTGCACCAGATCTTATTTAGGGGCTTCATAGCAAAGGGGGTTAATACATACGCACGCACCACTTTTCCGTTATTTCTTTTTTTGAAACAAGTAATTTTTTCATTTCACTTCACCAATTTGGACTATTTTGTGTATGTCCATTACATGAAATCCAAATAAAAATCAATTTAAATTACAGGTTGTAATGCAACAAAATAGGAAAAACGTCAAGGGCGATGAATACTTTTGCAAGGCACTGTACCTTAACTCTGGACACAGTGTATCATTGTTAAGATTTATTGCAAATGCTAGATCACTCACCCATCACTGTGATTTGTATGCTAGGGTGCAATGGACCTCTCTCTCCACCAGGAGGCTAAAGCACTGGTACACTTTTGTGTACAAATCACTGATAGGACAACTCCCTTTGTATCTCTGTTCCTTACTGACCAAATCAGTCACTCAATACAGTCTTCGTTCACAGTCGCTGCTGTCCTTGTCTGTTCCTAAGGCTAGAACTGAGATGGGGAAACAATATTTTTCCCCATAATGCCCCTCCATCCTGGAACATGCTTCAAAATATATTAAAGTTAGGGGAGTGTTGATCCACAACACTGTTTGTGATAGCTGCAGTTGTTTCTAATCTTCAATTGTATCTGTAACTTGTGACACTTTGTCTTTTGTGTGTGTTTTGTATTTTTCTGTAATATTTTCTGTACACGCTGCTATTTCCCTGTTTTGCCTTCTTGCCAGGTCGCCATCGCAAAATAGGTTTTTAACCTCAATGGGTCTTACCTGGTTAAATAAAGGTTAAATAAAATAAAAAAGTGGCAGCTGGGGACGTGAAATCTAGCAGCCTAAACGCACCGTTGCCTCAATGGAGAAAATGGAGCTACTATGACAGCTAGCTAGAGAGTCCGCTAATAATCTCTAAGAGCTAATGCACCTATTCATAATTTAGCTGTTTTAAATAACTATGATGCTGATCCGATGAAGACCCATTTGGTCTCCTAAACCTCACTGATGTGATATGACTGAGGAATATTTGGCCCATTCCTCCTGACAGAGCTGGTGTAACTGAGTCAGGTTTGTAGGCCTCCTTGCTCGCACACGCTTTTTCAGTTCTGCCCAACACATTTTCTATAGGATTGAGGTCAGGGCTTTGTGATGGCCACTCCAATACCTTGACTTTGTTGTCCTTAAGCCATTTTGCCACAACTTTGGAAGTATGCTTGGGATCATTGTCCATTTGGAAGACCCATTTGCGACCAAGCTTTAACTTCCTGACTGATGTCTTGAGATGTTGTTTCAATATATCCACATAATTTTCCTTCCTCATGATGCCATCTATTTTGTGAAGTGCACCAGTCCCTCCTGCAGCAAATCACCCCCACAGCATGATGCTGCCACCCCCGTGCTTCACGGTTGGGATGGTGTTCTTCGGCTTGCAAGCGACCCCCTTTTTCCTCCAAACATAACAATGGTCATTATGGCCAAACAGTTCTATTTTTGTTTCATCAGACCAGAGGACATTTCTCCAAAAAGTACGATCTTTGTCCCCATGTGCAGTTGCAAACCGTAGTCTGGCTTTTTTATGGCGGTGTTGGAGCAGTGGCTTCTTTCTTGC